TGATTGCAGGTCACTAAAGATCACAATGATCATGGCACTAAAATTACATCTGCCGAATTTTTCATGGGTTTTCCTAACCGTGTTTCAAATCCACTTTTTTCGTGACCGTCCGCTTGAATTTCCCTATTATTCCGTGCATGCATCGTATCTTTCGAAAGTCGAAGGTCGGTAATCATAGTCTTAAATTCAAGATCATTTTAAGGTGTAGTATTATATAATCTTAAGATGTCACGAACCAAAGAGAGCCGCATTAGCGTCTTAACACAGACATTATTTTAAGATGGAATAAAAATCGACTAAGATGGAATATGAATACCAGCCTAAAAGGTAAAGTCTTAAAGATATCTAGTTCAAGATGTCTTTTGGACGTCTTTCAAACATGCATATTCATTGGCCCGTAATGTGCCTGTTTCGCGCTCAGTTCGCACGATGTGTATAATATCTACGCATCCAATCTGTATCGCTAAGTTGATAATTAGGGATACAGTCGATAATTTTCTCATAAGGTAAAGCGAACTAGTTCGATTACTCTGACTCACATGTCTTTGACTATACAGGTTGTTTAGCGTAATGGTCCGCACGATTTTTTAGACACTTTCGACAATTAAGAAAAAAAGTTGAAAGGTGATTATCCATCTATTTTATATGAGCTACAACATGCAATTAAAAAAAATTTTTTTAATAAAAAAGGTCAAGGTCATCTTGAATTTTTTAAATAGCACCATATAATTTTTTTCCATAATATTATAGGGATCTTCAAGAATTCAATGCATTATCGAGATTATCACTTTCATTGATGTTTTATTGATTTTATATTACATAATATTTATCATAAATACTCATTAATAAAAGAATACTTATGTGAACAAATTTTATTGATTTTATTGATATTTAATATCAAATTTGCAGTATTATAAACATAAATGAATGAAGAAAAACAGTAACTTATGTAAATAAATGTTCAAATTGCTTATCCCCCTCTGCAACACAAAGTGTTATAAGTTCTGCTCTGAACACAAGTTCGCTTTTCAGCTCTGAACACAAAGTTTGCTTTTCAGCCTTGTGTCTATGTACAAAATCGTGAGTTAAGGAAATTTTTCCCGAATAACACAACGCGTGAAAAACCGTACGTGAGCTAGAGACAGAGGTGAGGAGTTTTTTTCATAGTGATAAGATCGTCACTAGCTGTTATCTCTATTGCTGTAAGCCCGTCACAAATTATTCTGCTTAATAGTGGAACAAGCATCGACAGATTAATTGCCTATCTTTCTTTATCTAATGGACAGTAATTCGAGAACATAGTGTAGAATAGAACCAAAAAATCGTTGACATTACCGACGGATTATGGACATTGACTACGTAGTTAAATTTTGTGAACATAGAAGCGCTTTAAAATAAAGTAACAGTTAAATCTCAGACATGGCCACTCTCAAGCTGGAAACATAATAAAAAACACAGGCAACAGCAGCATAGGAACAAAAGCATAGGAACAGGGAATAAAAAATTTCAACTTAGACCAGAAACCATGAATAATAGAACGCTTTCTGATAGGAAATCTCTCTAGTTGAAATCTTTTATTTCCTGTTCCTATTGTCTGTGCTTTTCATTGTGTTTCCAGCTTCAGGTGCCGTCCCATGAGCAGAAATTTCCGAAACGGAACAATGAAACCAATCACAATTGCAAAAAAGAAAGCAGAGTAATGATTGCAGAATTGTGATTGGTCGCGCTGTTCCGTTCCGCGCTGTAAATTTCCGCTTATGGAACGGCATCCTCAGACTTCTCTGCTTTAGGTATTCATAATCGATTCTTATATTCAAGACTGTCTTAAGTATAACTATATACAGTAGTAACAATACGAGCAAACGAAGGGTTCAGTTTTGTTCTGCGCATGCGTTAGCTGTAAAACCAAGAATATGATGGAGCGTCATAGCACACAGTTAAAACTATGGCGACGATGAGACACAATAAACTACAATTGAAAGCTGAGCGAACATTTTGTATAATTATATATTAAGGTGTATAAAATAGGTGGACTCTCTTGTACTTTTGCTACATGAAAGTGGCAACTACTAAATTTCTCACTTGCTTTAAATGATTGCCGTACGTGAATAATGCGTTAATTCTGATTAAAATTTAACCTGGAAGGGTTTGAAGAGTGATACTTTTCAAATATCATATCATCAAATAGATTGTGGCACCATCTCATAAAAGATTTACCAGACTTATCAAACCACTCTTGTATTACAATAATTAAATAAGTAAATACAATTTTTCATTGTTTTATCATTTTCTCTTTCCCAGGCAGTACAAATTTGAATACATATCCAAAACTGGAAAACTGGAGCATAAGATATCTTAAAGATTTATGTTACAACGTCTTAAAGAGATTTTAAGACGTTTTATGTCTCAAATATATCTCAAATTTAAATATTGTGCTATCTGAAATTGTCAATAAACTGTTGTTAACTTATAAATATCATGTTTTATGATTTCATAGCTACTGTATGTAGTTGTATGGTACAATCTTAAGATGTCACGAACCAATCAAAAGGTCGTATTAGGCCGGTATTCGTAGTCTGTTCTTATTTTAAGATCGTCTTAAGTAATATCTTAAGACGCTATTGCGGCCCTCTGATTGGTTCGTGACATCTTAGACTGTATCACAGTATATACAGTAGCGCAACTCTCTCCTTTATGTTGAGTGCGCATGTGTAAAATAACTAAGTTGCTTTCCCTCTTTTCCTCCTTTTTTTATTGCTCTCTCTCTCTCTCTCCATTTAAATAAACGTTTCAATGTTTCACTTAACATTTGTCTTTTAAATATGGTTCAGAGTAGAAATTTAGAGGAAAATATTACGTGTATTGTCCATTTGGTAAAATATTGTGTGAGAAATCTCGAAAGATTGGTTTAATCTTTGTGAAAAAGTGATAAAATAAAAAAGTGAATAAGAAATAACATAGAAAATCGAGCAAGAAAGATTTCTTTTTATTTATTGTATTTTAAACTTATTTTTTGGACATATATGTATATAAATTTCTTTTATAGCTTTCTCATAATATTTTCATAAATATATAATTACATAATATTTCTTTATACAAATATACATTTTTAAGTTAATTTAATATTTTTCCTAATTTTTCTATATTTTTTCTATGCGCACTTCATTTTGATCAACATTAACATCAAAGGTGCCGACGGAAAGTTGCGCTACTGTATATACTGTGACTATACTTAAGAAGATCTTGAATATAAAGACTGTGTCATCTTCGAACATACATAAATGAAAGCATTGATTACACTTGCTCATGGTTCTCGAATGAGAAACAGACGCATGTGCTTTACCAACATTTATCGTTATCTCTATCTTTCTCTCTCGCACAGACTTTTGCAGCGCTCTATTTCTCTTCTGTTTATATATGTTCTAAGCATGGTATACAAAAAAACTTAAGCAGTAAAACATAAGCAGTAAGCGAATTGACCAATTACAGTAGAGTCTATAAAAAAAAACAAGATTTTATTAAAATTTTTAACTATTGTATAATAATATAATAATATTACATCCTCAACTTTTAAAGAAATCAACAGTTATTATTAGAATCAAATCACAGTTATTATTATTATAGAATCACATCAAATTGTCTTAAGTTCAATCAACGAGTAATTAAAATCGAACAGTTTTTTAAACACTCATCGGTGTGTCGCAATTTGTACAATTTCGGTGTATCCACCGAAATTTTCTCTTAATTTCTAGCAAAACCGAAATCAAACCGAAACTCTGATTTTTTACCGAAACTGATCGAATCCGAAATTGAAATTGAAATTTCGTTAAATCTCGAGCATGGCCGCTCTCAGGTTTCTCTGCTTTAGTACAAAATGGTTGAACTGATTGATCAATATGGTATCATAAAAGATAAGAGTATGCTCATGCGCATAAAAAATAAGAGTATGCTCATGCGCATGACAGCGCATGACTTCAGACAATTGATCAATACGATATCAGGGTATAAAGACAAGGGTATGCTAATGCGCATAATAGCTTCCGAAAATTGATCAATACGGTACCAGGATATAAAGATAAAGGTTCTTTTATAATGTTCAGTTGGCAATTTCGCCACCGTATGTTAGCACTATCTATGTTCCTTGTCATTTAGTATTATTTTTGTTCATATCTTCTTAAGTTGGCACGCCTTTCTTATATATTGGGTCATCTAAAAAGTATCCGCGGTTTTTTGACCATCAACACCATCTAGTGACAAAAACCGCGGATACTTTTTAGATGACCCAATATATATGTATATAGTCTTTTCTTCTCTCATCATTTTTCTCTAAGTTCAAAGGAGATATTTTTTTGTTCCATCAGTTACAGAAATATACAATCGTACGTTTTTTTTGGTGCCAATCTAGAATCAGATTGTATTGTACATTTATTGATTCACCTGATCACCTTCGCGCTTAAAAAAAAAGCGCATAAAATACCCGACATACTATGACATACAGCTTCAATTACAGTATCTTCAATAAGATTCATTTTTTAATATGATTTCTCGTCGCTAAATTTAAATAACTTACACTAAAAACGTGTAATTTCAAAGAGTAATTTATTTATACTATTTATACTATTTTATACAAAAGTAATCATTGCATATATGCGTTGATATTAACGATATTATTCAAACTAGTTTTATTTATATTCTCGCCATGGAGGCAGAAATTGCGAAAAAAATTTGTATAATGAAAGATGATTTTACAATATATTTTTTTAATAACAATTAATACTTTTTTATAAAAAAACAATTCACAACATTTACTTGGAAAAATACGAGGTTACCTGAAAACTCTCTTCACAAAACAAAGAAAATACATATTTAAAACGATTATTTAAAATTCTTATCTAATTTACTAGCTTAGTCAACAAATACTAATATATAATTCCGTTTTTGAACATACAATACATTGTATAATCTTCTTTCTTCGAACATTATATTATTTATATTTTATTGCCACAAAAATGTAAACATAATTAGAGATTCTTTAGACGCTTCTCTGAACGCAAAATTCACTCATTCAGACGACCCGTGACGGAGACGAGACGAACGATATTTATTCGTAGTAGTCGCGACGTTTGCATGGACGATGATCGATTCGACGTCGCTGCGCTTTGGCGCGATATTAGTGTTATTTCTAGGGCGATTCTATTTCCAGAAGGGTTGTCTCGCGGCGGGAGGTTGCTTTCCCAACGACGCGCGATGGAGACAAGAGAGTATGTACTGAACCGCCAAGGGTGGCGCATCCCTATACGCTCGCAGGATCAATCCTTTCTATGGTCATAGAGCATAACAAGTAAGTCCTTCTAATTTTTCTTTTTTTTTGCCATAATGATTGGAAAATATCAACAATTTTATTTTTATATAAATAAATCGTTTCACGAATTTGTAATATGTATTTTTAATATATATATAATATAATATTATAATGATCATTAATTTTAATATTTTGTTCTATTATATGCCTTTATCAAAATTTTGTGTATTTTCGGCTTTTTTATGCATATAAAATTTTATACATATAAAAATAATTCTTTTTCTTTAATTTTAGTTTATTTATAACATATTTTCCTTTTATTTTGACACATAGTGATGTATTATATTAGGTGTTGGAATTAATTCGTAGCGTTTTTTAATGAAAGAATATTATTTATTTCACATGAGCATTAAAAAATACATTAATGAAAGTACTTCCCATCACTTGTAAAACGCTACGAATTAATTCCAACACCTAATATTTGCTCCGATACTACAATTATCGATAACTTTCAATTATGTCCTTTAAACATACGCTTGCATTTAGCGTACGATATATTTTCTAATGTGCGCCATGGGCTCTCAGTCAACAGTTTTCAATGAAACTTTTCTAATCACTTCTAATTCACTGGAAAAAGAGATAATAAAATTATAAACTAACTTTTGTAAATGTTAATGAATATGGTAAAGAACAAAAATTCCAGCTATGGACTGTTTTGCAGTCAGATATAAAGGCAGAAATAAAGCAGATTCTGAAAAACAATGAGGAATTTATAGTTCGTATTATATATTCATATTATATTATTTCTTTTCAATGAATTATTCAATGGCTTCTTTATTATTTCACTTGCATAATACATTTGCACACACGAATTTCTTTATAGGTGCAGAGCAAGATAATACCGATCTAAATCATGCATTCGAGTATGAATAACGATATATCGGCCTATCAAATGACCATTTGGCCACTCATGCGAATCGTCTCATGCGAATTAATGAAGAAATGAAAGCCTGGACAGAACTCAGCTCCGACTCTACTGATTATGACGTAGTATGATAACGGAAATTTAAACAGCAAATTATTGCAAGTAAGTTATATTTAATATTTGAAATGTTTTCGAGATCAATTATATATTCCATTATTTCATACTCTTTTTTTCTATAATCTTCAAACTTCCCAATCAACCTTTATTATTTAGATAAATATATTTAATAATAAATATATTTAGGTCGACAGATTTGGGTAGCGATCATATAACTTTTTCTTTAGAACAGAATCGTGAAAAGTGATTTTTATGTACATATACACAAATACATACAAAAAATTTTCATTTTTTTTCACGTTTCTGTTCTAGAGATAAAATTACATGATTGTTACTTTGATCTTGATTTATTATATGAATGTCTTGATTTTCTACAAGATTGAGTGGAAAATTTGATTATGAAGAAAAGAATATGAAATAAATGGAATATATAATCCATTTCGAAAAAAATCATATAATTAACGAATATATATCTGTAATAACAACTTGTTTTTAATAATACTGTAAAATATTATTTCTATAAGATGAAATAATATTTTATAGTATTAAAAAGAAGTTAAAAACAAATAATACTAATTGCTCTGATAATATGTATGTATTTTTTACTTTAATAAATTTTGTATACCAAATATTACAATTACTGAAAATAGTTTTATGTTACGTCATATGTCGTCATATATTGCAATAGTAACAATAGTGATACTACTAATGTTAGTAGTGACACTAATGTTAGCAGTGTCGGAATGTGCAATGTTGCAAAAAAAGTTGACTAGTTTCTAATGTTTGAGAGTTCTAATTTTAAAATATAATAATATTATTTTCGGATGTATATAAAGTATACTTTGCTAAACGTTCAGACTACAGCAAAATCGTTTCTTTTTTATGTATGTAAATCGGCGGAATAAACAATTTATGAAAATTTGCAGTTGTATCAAGATTCTATTCAACAAATCCCTGAAGAAGAGGAGAGCTTATATATATAAATGTGTAAATATATGTTAAAAATTTATAATTTGCATATAATTGAGGTCAGAAATAAATTTTTTGGTTGAACTGAATTTTGAACAGAAGGGATGGCCGATTTGATAGTGAACGCTCAATATTTAGTAAATTTTTTTTAATATGAGTATTGAAAACTTGCAATTTTCTATACAGCTTTTATCCAAGAAATATTGTAAATGTCTTTAGGATATTCAGAGGATGTAAAAGTGAAATGCAAATATTTCGAATTATAAAATACCCAGCAAACACTAAGTTACATGTAACGTACATGTTAATTGTAATTTCCTACTTAATAATACAACTCTAACGCGCCTCTAATATAACTACATTATTCGCTATCACGAGTTATCATATATTATTGAAGATCTATTGTTACCAGTAGCTTCTGTATTCATGCTTCCTACTATATTTCAGCAGAGGGCGTATTTGTAGATCATTTAGTGTGCAGTGCATAGTGCCTTCGTTAGTTTTAACATAATTAAAGTTCGGAAATAGTGAAAAAAAATGAAACATCTCATCATTTATCTTTTCGCAATCTTTGTCAAGATTACAAATGTGTTTGCAATCGAAGGTATTTAAATATAAATTAATCATTATGCTTCTCTGACAAGTGTCATCACAGTTATGACTGAGGAAATTATCTTAGAAAATCTTAGAAAATATAATTCATGAAATTTTATAATGCATTCTCTTACATGTGCAAGTACACGTTCAAGGACATAGAATTAATCATATCGATCACACTCAAACCGCATATAATAATTTTAAATGCTGTAATTTTAAAATGATATTACAAAGTTTAATAATAAATTTTTCCCGCACATTTTACGGAGGACAAACATTTTATATAATCAATTTTTCCATTTGTAAAAATGCGAAATTTCTTTTTCGGCAAATTAATGTTTATTTTTAACATGTTATCATATCTGTTTAAACAAATATATCTGAAATAATGAAGATATATCATCACTTTTGACGTAGACAGCCGACACTGGCATGATTTAGCGAACAAAGAACTAAAAGAATCTCTTTCGTATCATTGGAATCTAAAAAAAGCGAAAAACGTGATTCTCTTTGTGGGGGATGGAATGAGCCCCGACACTATAACGGCTAGCAGAATTTATCGTGGTGGTGAAATCAGTCAACTCGCCTGGGAGCATTTTCCTCATATTGGAATACTGAAGGTCTCGGGATTTTTATGAAACGTGACATGTATTGTAATTAATATATTTTATATAAGATCTTCGCGTGTCAAATGTATCTTTTGTTGATAATGTAGACTTATACCACAAACCAGCAAGTCCCCGATTCAGCTTCCTCCGCGACCGCTCTTTTCGGAGGAGTCAAGACGAATTATGAAGTTGTAGGAGTAGATGTGAATGTGGAATTGAATAATTGCGAGGCAAGCTTGAATGCGAATTATCACGTGGATTCATTCATAGCATGGGCCCAAGCAGCTGGTAAAGTCACAGGTCGAGTCCGATTACAATTATATTCCGACTTTAGAAAATCTTAAAGGAATCCTAAAGCTTTATATTAACCGATTAAATCGTAATTTTTGTATAATAATTATTTTCTTCCTCTTTTACAGATTCGAAAATTTTTTTCTAGCATCAAAGTACACGCATTAATACGTGTCTGTCAGGTGGAATTTATGCCGAGAACGACAAAAAATTTTTCTTAAGATTTCAATTTCAAAATTTTTGTTGTTCTCAGAATAAATTTCATCTCACAGACACGTCGTATTAATGTGATATACTTTAATCCTGACAAAGAATTTCCGAATTTGTAAAAGAGAATTTTAAAAAGTATGAAGTTCTTACAGAATTTCACACGTAATTTTAGGAGAAATATTTTTTTCTACGCTTTGAATCTTAATTCTACAAACTTAGTATTGTTCGTTCAAATAATCTGAATCCCGTCTCACATTATTTTTAATCTACAAGCTGTAAAATTTATATCAAGCAAATGCTAACCTCAGGCAGACGAGATACTATTAACAATCTTATGGAAATTCGCGTGCCTGTTAAAATTTAAGTGATTAAGAATAAGAGTAATATGGTACTAATTTCATAATTTATTAATTTCATATATTAGGTGTTGGAATTAATTCGTAGCGTTTTACAAGTGATGGGAAGTACTTTCATTAATGTATTTTTTAATGCTCATGTGAAATAAATAACATTCTTTCATTAAAAAACGCTACGAATTAATTCCAACACCTAATACATGTATATATGTTTAAAACTTAATAATACTCGATTTTTACTTAAAGTTATGATTTTAATGATATCATCTGAGTTTGATTATCAATAGAGATGATAACTGCAAAGAAAAAAATTGTAATTTTTCGACAATATATAAGCTATTATAGCATTAAAACATACTTATTTATACAGCATTTATATAATAAAAAATCGCGAATTTAATAATGTATTATTGAAATATTTATGTTAATAATCATAAATTTTTATTAATTGTCGGTAAAGTCATTGTTTTTCAATTATCCCCAGGTCCTTCGAGCCCCATTGATAGTCATGAAAATTTACCCAAGACCAACGGTCTTTAATAGTATGTCGACGGTGCCTCAGGTGACAGTTTTACGTGTCAGAAAAAGTGAATTTTTTTATTTTTTCTGATTTTCTTGTAAAATTGTATTTTTCAGATTTTCATTTTATGCGTTCTTTAATCTTGCAAAAAAAATTTTGCAAATCTGTGAAGCCAATTCGGAGATTTCTCCTAAAACATAATTATGGTAAAACAGGACGATTTTAGGAGCCCCTTAACGATTGCCTATGCATAAATAATTGTTTAAAAAAATTTTTTTTGTTAAATTTTTGCGATTAATCTTTTCGTAGTATTAATTTATACAAAAATATGTTTATGTATAAACTTTATGTATATATATAAGTTTAAAGCGAAAATAAAACTTCCGTTTTAAGTATTTTTGTTTTAATTGTAATTACTAGTTTATATTTTTATAAAACATGACATAATTAACGTACAGGTTTCGTGACGAATACCAGAGTTACTCATGCCACTCCGGCGCCGCTTTATGCTCACTGTGCAAATCGCAGGTGGGAGTGCGAATCCAAAATGCCTAAAAACGCTTCTGGCTGCAAAGATATCGCTAGACAATTAGTGGAGAATGAACCAGGGAAAAATATTCGAGTAAACAAAGAACGAGATATGTACTTTGTTTAATTACGAGAATAATACAATGAATAATAATACGTTTACCTTTTTATAGGTAATTATGGGTGGCGGTAGACAGGTGATGAAATCTAACGTGAGCGCGAGCGAATTTGATCCGATAGATACGTGGGCTTGCTACAGACAAGATGGTCGTGATCTCATTAACGAATGGATGAGAGATAAGTCTGATAGAAATTTAGCTTATAAAATCGTACAAAACAATGAAGAATTGTCCCGGGTTGATATCGATAATGTAGATTATCTACTCGGTATTTTCGCCAACGGTCACATCGCGATGGATTGGAAACGAGAACGAGATCCGAAGGGACAACCGAGCTTAGAAGAAATGACTGTGATGGCTTTACGAATTTTACAAAAATCCAAACAAGGATATTTTTTAATGGTACAATTATTATCTTGGATAAAATTATAAAAGAAATTAATATGACTGCTCTTCCAGGTCGAAGGTGGTCTAATCGACTTCGCTCATCATCGCGGTCATGCCGCTCAAGCGCTGTTAGAAACTGTTCGATTTTCGGACGCCGTTAATACCACTCTTAGAATGATCGACCCCGATGATACTCTCGTAATAGTCACGAGCGATCACACGCAGTCAATGAACTTCAACGGATACAGTCCTCGAGGTTCATCCATTCTAGGTAAGATGCACTGAAAGAAAAGTGTTTGATATTTGTGATTATTACTATATTATACAATTATAATCACAAATATCAAAATTGTTAAAAGCTCCATTTTTATATTTATTACTGCTAATGTTAATAGTATAATATATATAAATTATAATAAATATTAATAGAGAATGGAAAGTTACTTTTTAAAGATAACAAGTTACAGTTACTCGTTATCGAGTAAAAAAAGTAAGTTACCGTTACTAGTTATCAATTTTTAAACTCGTTACAATTACCGTTACTTGAGAAAAAAACTTTTCATTACTTTTCCGTTACTTTTTTAAAATCGACAACTACTAATCACAGCGGATGAGTGCTTAGAGATTTTCTATTCTCAAACTATAAGTGACTTATGTCCATCAATCGAACCGTATCCAATCGTGTGTAAAGTAATTGTAAAACTCATTACCTTTACTAAAAAAAATGTAACTACGTTACCATTACAGTTACCAAAAAAAAAAAATAACGCAGTTAGCAGTGATGTTACCAAAAAAGTAATTTGTAACTGTAACGAGTTACTTCCATTCTCTGTTTATATTTACAGTTCTATATATATATATATATATATATATATATATATATATATCAAAAATACGTTGTTGGCTGTGAAACCTAATAATTTATACCTATATAATCTTTTTATTGCCAGTTATATTATATAATTATTTTTTAGTATGCAGAACTATATAAATATAATTATTTTTACTAACATTATAGCAGTAATAATTATAAAAATGAAGCTGTTAGCTATAATTATTTTACCTTGATTATATTATACAATAAAAATGGAACTTCTATTATTATAATTATACAAGGAAGCTCTATTTAAGTCATAAATGTCAAATATTTTTTTCTCAAGTGTGTGTATGAAATTTTTTCGGACTGTTTATTCTCATACGAGAATATTTCAGGAATCGCTCAAAAATCTAAATACGACGGGATACCGTATACTACATTATCCTATAGCACGGGTGGACCAAACAATGTCGCTTACATCGTGAGTGATGACGGTCAAATCAAGAGAATCAATCCATCCGAATCGAACACTAGTGATTTTACTTATAGCCAGCAAGCTACAATCATATCGGATGAGGCTTATCACGGCGGTGGAGATGTAATTGTATACGCTATAGGTATGTTTAATTAGTTGTTACGAAAGATTGCAGTTAAAAAATATAGTTAAAATTTATAATAGATATTTAATAGATCCTTTAATAAAGACAATTTCTTTCCAAATTTAATTCGGCAAATATGCCGCTAAAGATAATTCATCATATCACTATTGTTTTGTTAAAATTATGTCGAAATTAATTGTGCGAACAGTTATTAATATTTTAGAAAAGATCAGAGTTTCTGCATTTATTTTTATAAATATACTCGTATAATTGCAGATTACAAATTTTATGAAAGATTCGTCATATAATTTCATAAATGTTATCCTAATATCGGAATTAGGTGCAGAACGCAAAATAACAGTAACATCACAACACATATCATATATTATTACAATATAATTTCTCACTTAACAATTAATATAAATGCAATATAACACATATTGTACATAATAGTTACATTAATAGGAAATTGTAACAATGATGTAGTATTATTGTTAGTTTGTATTCTGCAGATTTAAAAACAAATTAATTCTACTTCTAGTGTTAAATACTTTGAGTTTTCTTTATAGGACCGTATGCCCATCTTTTCCACAGCGTGCACGAACAGAATTATGTTGCACATGTTATCGCATATGCTGCAGGAATCGGCGAATATTCTAACAATGCGGAAATATCGCATTATATTCTGTATCCAGTTGTTTTATATAGTCTGATCTTATTAACTTTCGTGTATAAATAAATCAGTGAAGATAAATCATGAAAGTATTATCGATTTTTTTATTTTCCATAAAAATCAATATCGATATGATTGCTAAAGGCATGAATCTATACGCATAAAATAACTCTTATCATGTGTAATTAAGTGATATTGCAAGTGGTATTGTCTGTGAAATATCACTTTTGTCCACATCATTATAGATTAGAGTAACTTTCAATGGCCACATCAGGGTCCTATCCGTTTCTTCTTGTCGCAACAAATCGAGAGATAGTTTTACAAATCCATCTTTTTTATATACATACACATATATCATTCGCACGTTTATTTACAAACATATATTAAAAAATAATTCTCAGTCTTACAGATAAAGACACTCGCAATACTTGCGTCATCAAGTCGTAGAATGCAAACAGTCCTCCGAGAGAACAATTAAGATTGTGCTTCCGCTTAAAAATACATTATTGCATTTATACATTATATATAGTTTATAAAAATGTCTTCTTTACAGTGTATTCTATACATTTTCAGCTTAATTTTAACAAGTATAAAAAAGAAAAAATATATGAAATACATATATGAAACCGATGATCGGAAATTATGTGAAAAAGGAAGAGCTACGTCAAGATGGAAGAAGTTATCGAAGTTTTACCAATGCGAATGCGTCAACATATGTTAATGTTCTGTCGTTATGCACAGAAGGTAATATTTGATATCGTGTAACATGAGAAACACGCAAATGCGGACTCCGAATGCGGTCTTCTCTGTTCTATTGTCTTTAGATGACGAAGCAACGGTGAAAACGACGGAAGATCACTGCCCTCTTTTTCTCTCACAATTCTTGATGCCGTGCAGCACAGCACCGTGTAACAGTATTTTAAGCGCGATACCGCCGAGGAAGAGCACTGAGGTGACCAGGAAGATGAAACCAGGGGTATACTTGCCAAAAATCGTCAGACTACATAAGGCCGTCATTTGAAAGACGAGCAGCAACGGAACAAAATACACGGCCACAGTTAAATAGCATGAGTGTTTGCGCTTCGGCTTTTTAAACTTGTTGAACCTTGCGACAAGTTTAGTAGAATCGTTATTCGCTTCTGGAATTGCTTTTTGCACTTCGGCTGGTTTCTTGATGCGGATTTCATGTAGCACAGATAGACGCAAATTCTCGTACGTGATCAGGAGACTGATCGTGATCTCCTGAAGAAAATGGCTGAGATAGACGTGCACTTTGCGCGCTAGAGGATGCGACTTGGAATTATCGAAAGAATAGAGAAGATATGGTAACAGATTGAGATTCTGACAACAATGGCGAATCTTCTGCATCGACGCGTGTCGGAATAACATCGGTGGCCCGCTGTAGTTTCCATCTGTTATTGGGAGAGAAAAGAATACTTAATCATGATATTATGTAGTTACTATCATTCACAAACCAAAAACATTTTTACATGATATTTCAACTACATAATTTTTTGTGATAAAAGTGAAACCGTTGAGATATTATTGGATAAATATGTGTCCCATTAAAAAAAGGATATTTAAAATTATAATTCGATTTAATAAAAGAAACATCTAAAAAGGGTATTTAAAATTATAATTCATAAGATTCCTGCACGTAAACCTAGATAATGTGGAACGTTCTTCAGCAATAACTGGAATGTTCCACGCTATTTAAGAAAAAAAAGCTGGGACTGAGAAAAAGATAGATGAACGCGAATGTTTTGTTTATTTACCCTTAAACATATCGGACACTCGTCTAACGAGAGTTGGTTTCCTCTTTAGGCCATCTTTCTGTTCCATGATCTCAGACGTCTGTGACATTTTAGCACGATGTTCGGAGAATATGTTTAATACCTATCTGTGATCAGAGATCGATGCTATTTTTCTGTCTTCACGTAAAGCTTTCTTCCCTCAGGGAATATACTCGGAATATATCACCTGAAAAAATAAGCGCATTAATGAATATAAACCTAATTGCTTTTTGCACTTGAAAAATATTATATTATTACATAAAGTATTTAGTGATGACTATATAAAAAAAATTATGTAAGTATAGAAAAAAATTAATAATTGATTAATAATTGTCGCTAAGAATAGAATACATATAGTTACAGAATAGAAACATAAATTAAATAAAGATGAGATTAACGAACAAAATTAATCGATTACCGATCTTTGGTGACAACTTTTGATGAAGATCACCAGTGAGCGTTTCGACCAGTACTGAAAGATTCTCGTCATTCGCACTCTCGAAGTTGTATAGTTAAAAAAAAGGCATCACAATTTGATAGCCTGTCGACCCGAGATTAATTCTTTGACGCAAAAATTTCTCGCGACTTAACGATTGTAAGAAATATGCATGTATTGTTTGTCTGATTACAAAATTTTTTTTCTTGAAATTGTTAGGTGAACTATTTTTAAAGCCTTCAATTCTATATTACATCTTACACTGAAAACTTGCAATTATTAACTAAAATGTTTCGTATTTTAAACTTATATGACAAGAACGTTTTGCTAAAGTATCTAAAAATTTAGCTGGACAAAAATTTGAAAACGATTTCGTTGAACTATCAAAATAATTATACATAGATATATATAGGACATTCAAATTGATTGCTAAAATATAAAAGCTTTTAATAATATTTATCGTTAACGCGTTCGACATATTTTGATTTAAATTATCTTGAAGGTTCACAACATTATTTTTATATCTGTATTTAGGTAAATTTTTAGACACTTCATAAAATTGAATAATTTAGTCGGGATTCATTATATCGAAACTTTTTCACATAAATAGATCATTTCGCGAAGCTACGATCCGATTATAAATTGTCCATATCAAATTAATAAAAAAAATTATAAATGCTATCTAAAAAAATGTTATTTGTTAAAAACGAATTAGTTAAAATAAATCATACTTTAAAATATATAATATTTTAAATAAGCAATAATAAAATAGTGCGACTAACAATTATGAGAAACATGCATGACAGCTTGCATGATTCAATTTTTTTTTCTTGACACTTTGATTTAATAAATTGTTTTTGAAACCTTTTAAAACTAGACTATATCTTACACTGAAAACTTGAAAATTATAAAAAATAAAATTTAAATATTAATAGAGTTCCATATTTTTTGCAAATTATACTTTAAATAAGCGATAATATTTAAAATAACGTATATGTATGTGCATTAAAATTGTATATAAATAATGTAGAACAAAGTTTGAACTTAAACATTGACTACTAATTCCAAGTCGTTTAAATTAAACTATATTAAGAATAAATCGACTAAGATTATTTTTTTATGAATGTTCAAAAATTTTTAGTACAAACTATAAATGCGTACTTATTGTAATTGAATTTACTAATTTGTCTCATTAAAAAAATTGATTAACATATTTTATAAATTAAATTATATATTAAATAACTGAAAGTATTATTGAGTTTTAAAAATCAAATTATAATAAAATAAATTAACTATGATAAAATAATTCACATAAATAATTTCTTTTGAAGTTAATAATTTGAATAATAATAACGAAAAGAATATTCTTGTATACGTAATAGTTTTAATGTCTCATATCTTATTACACTGAATTAATGTACTAACAAATACTTATACCATATTCATAAATTAAAAATCAGAATATGCTATATATAAACAGACATCTATCTGCGATGCATTCCTAGCATGAAACATAGTTTCGATTGACCTCGCTTGAATTGGCGCAATTCACTGAAGCAACATTTTCAAATTAGATAAGAGTGGAAATTCTATTAAAACCAAGATCTCTATATTTCTCATATAAATATTTTTATAAATATTTTTATAAATGCGTGTAATTTCACATAGAACTCACCTTGATGTTAGTGTAATGGAGGATTTGGCGTCTATTTCTTAATCACCAGGAAAGTTTGTTTCGGAAATAAATGAAAGCTAACTGTACTTCTTGTAGAGATTGAAAACTATCGGAAATTCGCGAAATATTCCCATCCTTCGCGTCGTTTCGCCAAACGAACATTCACGATTAACAATATACAACACGTGAGTGGAAGAACTGCTAGGTGGAGTATGGTTGCGTCTTGATGTTTGCTCGACTACTGAACCGGCTGCGGGCGATTGTCTAACAACTACCGGACGATTAACCACCTCTACCGACTCCGAACTTATGACCACGATCAGCTACACGGAGCATGTTGGCATGCTCCGAGTCAGTCCAAAACGGCAATTTCCATCGGAGCTGATGCTGTATTGGTCGATGGCACAAAACTCAGAGGGTCGAGATGAACTTTCTACATAAATACTAAGAAAAAGGAAAAAGATCATCGACGCGAGGAAATGCGTGCACATCGCAGAGACGAGGCTTTCGACATACACGCATTTGTTCCTCGCCCTCGACCTCTGGAAGCATAGCTTGATTGATACCCTCATGGCATTATTGGTAGAATTATACTTTTATGCAACGGAAACAAAGTTTGCATCACGATAACTTCAATTATTTTTCTGCAATTGAGCGAAACTCCTTCAGACAGTGTATAATTTTGTTAATGTAAACTTTCAAGTTTAATGTAAATTTAATGTAAATAATTTTACTCTGCGAATAAAATTTACAGTGCATAATTTTTTTACTACAAAATTTAAACATTTATATTAAAAAATTATGCATTATTAATTTTATTTTTTCAATTGCAAAGTAAAAGTATTTTCATTAAATTTACATTTCTGTCAAAAAGTTTATAGTTTTATTTTGCAATAAAATAAAATTATAACTCCTAAACCTTTTCACGAGATTTCATAAGTTTTGGAATCATTCCTATTTATTTCATAAAAATATATAATGAATTTTTCCTAAATATTCTAACTACAATATACATTTAACAATAATAAAGCGAAATTCTTTCACAAGAGATTTTGAGAAAATATATAAACAGAAAACATGTATCTACACAACAGTTAAATATTGCAAAATAATTAAATAAATCTGATTTCGAAGTATATTAAATATTAAGATACGTTTTGCAAAGTTTTTTAAAGGATACTTTCTTGTTTTAATGTTATTTTTTATTGCTTTCTTAGAACGATCTTTTTGAAGTAATATGAATACCCCGAAACTAACCAGGCAAAACCTGTCCTGAAACGAAAACCACAAGCATGTTTGACCATTGATTGTGAGATCAAAGATTGAAAACTCAGGGAAGTTCTTGCGTAGGGCTGTCGGTATCGATCGTTGAAACACGTGAAAGATGCGTGATCACGAAAACAAAAGAATAAGGAGAAACAATTCCACTCTAAGTGTGATACGATAATGATATCGCTGATAATTTTAGAATTTTGGTAAATTGAAATAACATATATTGCTTTCTTAGAAAAAAAAGCAATACGTATCATTTCATTGACCTCGCTTTTTTCAAGGTTGCTCGACACGCATCGAGTGTGACGCGCTGCGTGTTTCCAATGACTGTTCGATGGAGAATCTTCACATTTCCAGACTGTTTTATAATGTAGACAAAACAATGTTGTTTTAATGATAACTTATAAATATGGATGTCACATTTTTTTCTCATCAATCTTTGACTTCCGAAGCGTGACATAAAAATCAACGATGGAAAATTCCGATTAATCTAATTTTGATAGAAGCAACTCTGTTCACATGTTTTATTCAATATTGCAATTTACATAAACATAGTACACAGCATATGCTCTTAATATATTACTTACAAAAACGAATAGAGATAAGCAATTAATTCAATATAAGAAAAAAATTCAATATTGAAGCTGATTAAAATATCGTTTAAAACGGCGTAAAAAGGCATGTATTCATAACGTGTTCATAACGTATGAGATTATTTGAATTCATTTGCGACTCAGTAAAAATTCCATTAACGATTTTTTAAAAATAACTACATTTATTCGCTTAAAAGAGCTAAGTAATGTATCATCTATTTATGAATTAAATGATTCAACCGTGTTTTGACTTGTATATTTTGTCACCACAAAAATACACATGAAGAATGCATTCAAAATATTTTCCATTATCTGATAATGTATCATATGGCAGTTGTATTAATTCTCTGACGCATCGAGTATTTATGCACGTAATCGGCTTTAAAAATGTGCACACCTTGCTGGCAGCAATTTATCATTCGATACCGAAAACATGTGCTTTTTGTTCTGAAAATGTTGGATTGAAAGTAAGTCTGCGTGAAATATCGAAGAAAAAATTTTACAAATTGTAAGTCTTGATACAAATTTCAATTTTCTTTATAATTTTTTTTTAACTAAAAAATGCGATAATAGAAAAATTCTAAAAATTCTATAAATTTTGCTATTCTATAATTTTATAAAAAAAACTTGTAAATATTCATTGTAAATATTTTATGACGAATTTCGTTTTCTATCGACATCAGTTTTCTACTTATAGGTAGTAAACTTTCCCTTACATTATGCTATTCTATTTCAAAATCAATAATTTTCTTCTTTTTCACTTTTACTTTGTCGCCTATGCGCGTTGCTCTGCGATGTCGATCATTGCACAAAAACATTCAATGCAGAAAGCACTGGTGAATCTTTTTGAGCATTGCGTTTTTTCTTTTGCCATTTGCAATTCGTGTAGATCGAATATTAAATTAATCGCAATTCGTTATCTGGTCGTGTGCTCAACATGAGAGCGAATGCAGCTAATAACATTCTCATTGGCGTTGAGAAAAGCGGAAATGATGTAATTCTAAACAAGGTCGGTACTTGCAAAAGCAGTTTTCCAAAAAAAAATCGTTAAAATTAGAATTAATCTAATAGTTGTTTATCATAGTTTAAATTTATAAGTTATCTCATCGTGTTCATCACGTGTTAGTAAACGCAAATCAAATTTTTATTAGGATAAGAAATTACAAATAATCTATTGGTAATTTAATCTGCATTGAGAATTCTTCATGATATTTTTTTTCCATAATTATTGAGCAATTGAATGAAATGTTTATAAAAGCTATTTATTGCGATATAAGTAACTTTTTTAAATATTAAATTTAAGATTAAAACAGCTTGAAATTCCAGGTCATTCCTTTCTCTTTTCTACAATAAGAATTGTGACGAAGTCAAATTACGAAGTCACGCTTGCAACATGTGCACTCGTCTTGACAATTCCATTGACCATTCGTCTTCATCACGAAATGATCACGTGTTTAGAAAATTCTTATCCACAACACAGGCTTAGCGGAACTTTGTAGTTACATTGGCACAATACTTTTTATTAAAAATTTTAATTTTATTATGCCATATGTTGTTATCTCTTTCTCAAAAAGCATTATTTTTTATTTTTCGTCAAATTTATGTAATAATATAATTCAAAATATGCGTAACTTATTTTTGTCTTAATGATAAAGAGTTAAATTTTACTTGTCTCTTTTTATTTCATTAAAATATATATTAAAACATTAACAAATGATTATTTATTTAAATATGTTTTAATTTAAACAATGTAAGGAAAACAACGATAAAAACGAACAATAATATGGAACAAGAAATAAAAATTAATCAAATTATTTATTCTCTCAAAATTTAGAAGAAAACAAAAATCATTTTGACGATATAACTATTGTAATTTTCATGTTTGTAGATAAATAAATAATATTATCGATAAAGTTGTCATAAAACAAACTTTTTAATACATAGCTCTTTTGTATTATTTCCAATATCTGTTGTCTGTTTATGTTTAATTACGATCAAAATCAATTATGCTGATTTTTCATGAAAGGAATAATAATTAATTCAAAAATTTTATCACAATATATTTTTTGTATACAATAAATTGAAGTAATGCTCGATTTTTTAAATATAAAAATGTAAATTGCGATAATTGTAATGTAATGTAAAGCAAAGAAAAATTGAAAGTCATACCGCTTTATAAAGAAATCGATAAAAAATTAATCATAGCAAATGTAATGCCGTAATGCACCTTTATATATTCGTCTAATTTTTCATTTTTATCTACTACTCTTGTTTTTCTCAATGTATCTCTTTTACTTTATGGATCATTTCTCACTATGATACATTTGATTGACTCTAATAGTCAGGATGAATAAGTGTTTAAACGAGAAGAGTATACCGCTACGGACGTGGTTAGAAAATTTCAAAACAATTTTGACTGACTTTATTAAAGTTGATTTCAACTGCGAAGTTACGTAAATCATTGTGGAATTTAAATTATCTACAATAGAATTTTTTACTTGGTATAAATGTGATCTTATCGAAAGTTTCAAAGTGACTAGAACAATATTTACAATATAAAATATGTATACTTAAAATTAATTAAGGAATAATTTATTATAAATTGTATAATTTTATAATCATTGAGAAATGAGAATACCCAAATAAAATAAGAACAGGAATCTGTGACATGTGTATACATATAAATTTCAAATTAATTTCATCTTTTTTTGGCTCATTTATTTTTAAATCCTATCTTAAAAATGCTTTGTTGACGGATTTTTGCGAATGCAAATTTTTGTTATCTCAATTATAATAATTAATTGAAAACAAAAGCTTGCGACCGAGCAAATTAATTAAACAGTCTCATGATTATTTCGTTCAGAATGTCAAGAAATAGATTAAAAAGTTATAATAAAGAAACTGTCTGTTAAAATTCATCGAAAGGTTGTGCGCTTTGATATTATTTGTTCTGGAACGATCTTTTTCTCTGTATACTAACTTTTTCAAACGCGTGACTCTTACATAATTGAATGAATATAATGAGTTTAATATTGTGACTAATATTTTTTGCAAGACTAGGATTTTTTATGTGCGAAAGTGCAACGTCCGCATCAAATATGACATGACGAAATTGGATTCCCATTATCTCATGAAAATGCTGAATAAGAACGATCGAATTGAGAAACGCGTCGATAAGTTACGATACAGATCGTTCCATCGTTTTAATTAATTAATTAATATCTCTGTTAGACTTTAGACCATTAAAAAAACCAAAGAGTATATAATAAAAATCGCAAGCGTAGATTAAAGGTAATAATTGAACGGAATATAAGTAGAGATATCTCAGTTACTATAAATATTTTTAATTTTTACTTTTTGAAAGCAAAATCACAGCTACATATACGATGTGGTTTCATA